GTTGAACAATGGGAAAAAAAAAAAAAAAAAAAAAAGATTTAAAAAAGATATCGTGCTGTGTATACAAAGATAAATAAGAAATATTTTCTCATTTTCCCCTCTAATTTAAAGCTTTATTATAGTCAATTCTTCTTTTTCTAGGTCATTTGGTGTACTTGACTTGATGAAAAAAGAAAATGACTCTAAGGTGATGGAATTTGTTCTTCTGGGTCTGTCATCCTCCTGGGAAGTACAGCTATTTCTCTTCTTCATGTTTTTCTTCATTTATGTTGCCATCATCCTGGGAAACCTCTTGATAGTGGTGACAGTGAGAGCTGATGTTGACCTGCTACAATCTCCCATGTACTATTTCTTGGGCCATCTCTCCTTCATTGACCTGTGCCTGAGCTGTGTTACTGTGCCCAAGGCATTGGGAGATTTCCTACACCAGGGAAAGACAATTTCTTTCTCAGGATGCTTGGCCCAGATCTACTTCCTCCACTTTCTGGGAGCTAGTGAGATGTTTCTGCTGACAGTGATGGCCTATGATAGGTATGTTGCCATATGTGAGCCTTTGCACTACCTGACAGTCATGAACCACAGGCTATGTCTTCAGTTGCTGTTTGCCTGTTGGTGTGGGGGCTTCATCCACTCTATCACACAGGTCACACTGGTCATCCAGCTGCCTTTCTGTGGCCCCAATGAAGTGGACAACTTTTACTGTGATGTCCCACAGGTCATCAAGCTAGCCTGCATGGACACCTATGTGGTAGAGGTCCTGATGGTCTCTAACAGTGGTCTGCTGTCTCTTATTTGCTTCTTAGTCTTGCTATTCTCCTATGTGGTCATCCTGATCAACCTGAGAACCCACCTTCGTCAGGGCCGGAGTAAGGCACTCTCTACCTGTGCTTCCCACTTAATAGTGGTCAGCCTGATCTTTGTGCCATGTGTATTTATTTACCTAAGACCTTTCTGCAGCTTCTCTGTGGATAAGATATTCTCTGTGTTTTACACAGTGATCACACCTATTTTGAACCCCCTCATCTACACACTCAGAAATACCGATATGAAGACAGCAATGAAGAAGCTGAGAAAAAAAAGCATGCCATTCTGTTGCCTTCTTAAAGGGTGAACATGAAAAGGTATCTTAGAAAACATACCCTTTATTTGGACAGTCTTACTTTATCTTGTATACGCATTAAAACTAGGTAGGTAACTTTGACACAAAAGCAAAAACAGCGTAAAAACATAACGCCTCACTCTTGCTAGTAATTGGAAGTCATAGACATATTTCTTGTTTGCTGAATATTAAGCAGGGGAACCCAGCAGCAGTACTGGAAAACAAATGATAGGAACTAAGTGAATGCTAGAATCACAGGACACTTGAAAAGATCACTTCTTTTCTTCTGTCTATGAGAAATCTTCATTTAGTTAACGTACTTTACTATTTAACTCTATTTCCATCTCCTTTTGTGTCCTCCTTCTTTAGGGTTCAGGAATATCTTTTGGACATTTGGTCAAGTCTCTTCTGAAGCAAAGTGAACTCCTTTTGTTGCAACTGTAATTAATCTTGAACCTGGCACCAATTTCCCTGTACATTAGTGCTCATTGAGGAACTTTATTCCACACTCTGCCAAATTTTGGAAATGCAACCAAACAACTCAATTGAATGAAGATATTCCCTTAGTAAAAATTATGTGTGGGAGAGAGGGAAGTCCTAGGGTTATGGAGGTTACTCATATTCTGGTTTTTTAAAAAAATTATTGGTACATTTTAGGCATACATAACGATAATATTCATCACAGGGAATTTGTACCTGAACATGATATTTCTTGCTTCTTCTTTTTCCTCATTCTTCTCCTATGCTTTCAACCCCTCTTCTTCTCCTGTTTATAAAAGCTTTGTTTCTATTTTTTCTTGTCCCTTTTTTCTTTCCCCCTCCCTCCTCCATAGTTTCCCCATCTCATTTGAAAATTCCATAAACTAAAAATTCAATTGAAATTATACGCAGCAGAATGAATAAATATAAGAACAGAATATCAGATACAGAAGATAGAATTGTGGTCATCAATCATGAAAAGAAAGGTTTCTTAAAAATAGCAAGGGACTGCAAAATAATTGATTCAACAGCTGCTAGATGATGCAAAGAAGAATAACATAAGGTTGATCAAAGTCAATGAAAAAGCTGGAGACAATGCAACCTACATAAAAAAAAAAAAAGAAAAACAAAACCCTTTTCAGAAGCAAGGACAGAAAACTTCCCAAGCATGGAAAAAGAATTTGACATACAGATACTGGAGGCAAATAGAATTCCACTTAGCCATGAGAAAAACAAAAACAAAAAACCTATACCAAGGCATATAATGGTCAGGATCCCAGAAATTCAGTGTGAGAACAGAATGTTAAAAGCTGATAGAGAAAAGAAACATATCACCTGTAAGGGAAAGCCTATCAGAATCACAGCGGCCTTTTCAATGCTAGTATTTTGTTGTTGAGGCTTCTCTGGAAGAGGAATCCCATTTCATACTGAACTATTCCTTTGAGTAATTATAGTGGGTACAAACTGACAGGCTTCAACTGACCATGATGTTTAAGAATTCAGAAAAAAAAAGCAGTGGCTCAAAGTACTCTCTCTAGCCTTAAGCTGCTCATAGTTATTACTCTGGATGACAAGTGTGCTTTGAGGAGTAGACAGTATCATTTAACTTCATTTTTAACAGTGAAGTCAGTTTTTAAGTGAGTTCTCCGAGATCACTTAGCAAAAGGGTGATCAATCATGAACACTAATAATTATAGATAATTAAGCTTATTTTTTCTTCTCAGAGGAAAATATTTAATCAGGTGATATTGATTGTTTGATTTCTACTAGATTGATCTGTATAGGAACTCCAGAGATAGATGATCCCTAAAAGGTTTTATTTAACATTTATATTTAAAGTTATATATTTCAGACATGTCTCCTTGCAACTTTTAATGACTATGGAAAGGGATTTATCTCATTTACCAAATAACAAGATAATTGCAAAGTTTAAGAGATAATTTTGTATTTGTTTACTTCATTTCCTCATCAGTTGCTATAGAGAGGCTTTTCTCACTACTTACTGAAAAATGTACTTCAGAAAGAAATCTTTGAAATTACAACATTTACTTGGATCTACTAGATAATTTATAATACCTTCTTGTCAGGTAAGAGCTTTTAAAGAATATTTGAATAATGCATGGGTTTTACTTTATGTGCTGGGTCCTTATTTTTAGGAAAATGTGTGTATGTCTGTATTTTGTTACAGAAGGCTTTTCCAGAACGAGACCAGTGCTGCCACTTAGAAGATTTTCTAGCATGGGAAAGTGAAGGGAGTAGCAATCCTGGCACAGAACGCTCCCCTTCTTTTCCCCTCATTCTACACTTTATTTCTACAGCGGTCCTTCGTCTACAATGAACATGTGGAAGAGCACAATAATATCCTCAAGACAACATCTGAAGATCAGGAAGCTATCACCAGATAGCAGTGTGAAAGTTGACAGAAAGATACAGATAGTCCTGTGGGTCAGCCAGGCATATTGTTAAGACATGAAGCTCCAGGATTTCTGGAGCAAGGTGACTACAACATCTTTTTTTTTTTTCCTGGTGTTCGTCTTTCAGAGCAAAATTTGGGGCCTTGGCAAATCATTTTAAATACCTTTGTGATATTAACTATTAGTATCACTATATTAAAAAAAGGAGGAAAGCGCAAGGACCAGAGTTTGATCCCCAGTACCAAAAAAAAAAGCAGGAATTTTGCATATGCCCTTTTGCAGTTTCATTCTTCCAGTGATTACTTTTTTGGGGATTTTTCTTTTTTGACAAAGGGTCTCACTATGTAGTTGAGGATGACCTGGAACTCACTACGTAGCCCAGGCTGGTCTGAAACTCACAGCGATTCTCCTGCCTCAGCCTCCCAAGTGCTGGGCTTACAGGTGTGCGCTACCATGCCCAGCACCTCCAGTGATTAATTAATTGACTAGTTATACTAAAATTATTTATTAGTAAAAGTAAAATTTCAGTTTTTTGCACACTTTACATGACTGGTACTATGTGGGGGCCCAATGGAGTAGAGTGCAGACACCACGGGCACTCTTCCAGAGCCTGCCTGATTCTCTTGTGGGTCTGTTCTCCTGAAAATGTACCATATTGTTTGTGCTGAATGTTTTCTCATGGCTAAGTGGAATTCTATTTGCCTCCCATATCTGTATGTCAAATTCTTTTTCCGTGCTTGGGAAGTTTTCTGTCCTTGCTTCTGTGAAGGGTTTTGTTTTTGTTTTTGTTTTTCTTTTTTTTTTTATGTAGGTTGCATTGTCTCCAGCTTTTTCATCGACTTTGATCAACCTTATGTTATTCTTCTTTGTACATCTAGATATAAACCATAATAATGACAAAGGTGTGTTCTGTTCACACTACCACATTTGGGTGCAAAAGTGCGAGGGTACCTGGTATTTTAAAGTGGAATTCCTAAAGTAATTAAGAAAATACAAGAATATATTTAAATTTCCTTAGCTTGAGTTACAACTCTTAGACAGATGTTACATGGGGTCCAGTTGTTCTCTTGCCCTGTGTTCCATGTGTATTTGGGTGGGTCTGCTTTTTTTCTGGCTCTTGTGATCTTTTGGGGGTACTAAAACAAGAGAGATGAAGCAAAGGGAATTCTTATTCATGAGATAATTGCACAATTATTGCCTTCATATTTTCAAGATGCATAATAAGAACAAAACTATCCACATTTATAACCTATCTATAAAGTAGATGTTATGAACAGGGCCATTTAAATTAGGAAAACTTGTCTTCACTTTGCCAAGCTTTTCTCTGTATAGGACCTTAAAAGTAAAAGTTATTACTAGAGAAATTCAATACACCATCATAACAGCTACTCCTAATTAGAGAAAAAAATTTCCTGAAGGTGTTCCTCTAATAAATAACTCTTAGTGGCATTTGAATCTTTTAATACTCATGAATGCATCAATAATACTTTAATTTTAATAACCTTTCCTAAGTCTACAACTATTTGCTGTGTGCCTGGAAATGTGGTAGATGTGTTTTCACTGGGTCTTCCACTAAGCATCTGTGTATCACCCAAATATCTACTTGTAAACTCTCTCGGTATCCAACAGAGGAAAGTGAATAACACTCAAAAACAGTACATGAGCCCAGAGAGTTCTGAAACATGGGTTGCCTTTGATACGGAAAAGTGTAACTGCCAACCCGTTAGAGATTAGGTGTGCAGAATTTGTGGTCTCACAATATCAAAGAATGAAGTCGAGGAACAAAGGAGAACGTTAGAAAAGTTTTGTTAGAAATAAGAGAAGAAGAAGAATAGTCCTGGATGGCCAGAGTGGGTGGCCACTGAGGTGTTTTGTCAGAGGTCCTTTATGCAACAAGACTGCAACATGGGTGCAATGTGGGTCAAACTACAGTCACCCAACGAGATCACAAGTACAGTCACTTAGTTAATACCGATGCCATAAGGAAACAAGGCAGGTAGCAAGGGTGTATGAAAAGAGCAAAGGGATTTTTGGAAGTGAAGGGGAGGATGGGTCCAGAATTTTGGCCACCCAGCTATGTATCTAATGACATGTAATGGACTAGGTGGTGTTAATTCTAGTCTAACTTCACCGCTGCTGTTTATCTCCGGGGAGGCTGCCAAGCCCGGCTACTGCTTCTCCATCCTGACCTAAGTCTCTTCAGATTCACCTCCAGCCACAATTCTCACATCCTCGTTTTTCTTTTTGTTTGTTTGTTTTTTTTGTGCCGAGTTCCTCATGGGCCCAAGCCCTCTCTGACTGCATATTAATTTCTATCTAACTTAGCTGCCTTCAATAAAGTGACTTAAATGCTCAATATAATAATGTGACTTAAACACTCAATACCTCTTTGTGCAATTTTTATAATAACAGTATTTACTTCATAGGCTTCTCAGAAAAACAAAAACAAGTAATACTTAAAATGTTTTAATAAAACTGCCTACATACGGTCAGAACTCAAAAAATTTGACTGGTTATATTACTATTATTACTAGTTGTTCTAGTGAATTGAGGGAAAGCAAGGTTGAAAGAAATGGAAAATTGACCCAAGAGAAGCACAGAGCAGAAAGATGGAATTTT